CAGTGTCCATCGTGTCCTCAGTGTCCATCATGTCCTCAGTGTCCATCGTGTCCTCACAGTGTCCATCATGTCCTCACAGTGTCCATCATGTCCTCAGTGTACATCATGTCCTCACAGTGTCCATCGTGTCCTCACAGTGTCCATCGTGTCCTCACAGTGTCCATCGTGTCCTCACAGTGTCCATCGTGTCCTCACAGTGTCCATCATGTCCTCACAGTGTCCATCATGTCCTCAGTGTTCATCATGTCCTCACAGTGTCCGTCGTGTCCTCAGTGTCCGTCGTGTCCTCACAGTGTCCATCATGTCCTCACAGTGTCCCCCATCAGCCCCGCAGTGTCCTCCCATTGTGTTTTCAGTGTGTCCCTCGTCAGCCCTGCAGCGTGTCCCCCTCGTGTCCTGAGCACATCCTCCCTTCAGTCCTCTGTAGGACCCGTGTGCCCGGGGTGAGGCCCGTGCAGCTGCACGTGGACCCCGAGCGAGCACACGGTCTGTCAGGCCTTCCGGGTGCCAGGATGTTGTGTCATTTAAGAAAAATAACTTTATATAATGGAAGAAGAAAAAGAATGAAGCGGTAGGAAGGGACCCACGACACTGAAAAGGCGGCCTCTCTGAGGGAGGACCACTGAGTCATGTCCCCGAGGACACAGTGTCCTGAGGGTTCTGTTTACGGGGACGTTTGACGAGGCCTAGCCTAATCTGAGACCTGAAATACCAGTGTGTTCAGTAGAGGGCTTTCCGAAAAGAATGGTCAGCACTGGGAGTACTGAAAGGCCGCAGAGTGGGCTTGGGCAGCACATGGCATGATGATAGAGAGTGGGAACAGGACACACAAGCAGAGCTTGGGAGGCAAAGCAAACATTTCATACCAAATATCATTGGAAGCCATTGAAGGGTTTTTAAAATTTTTTTTAATTATTCTTATGTGTGTGTGTACCAATTTTTTTTATTCATGTGTGTGTAGCTAGCCTATTTTTATAATAATGATCTTATGCAGTAATTGTCCTTATGAGACTGAGTTCCCTAAGCATAAAGCTCTCCACTCTCTCCCAAGTTATGTAGTATTTTTCAAAATCATTTCTCTTGAGTGCTGCATTGTATTTCATTGTATGAATGTACCATGATTTCTCAGTCCATTCACTTGTAGTTGGACATTTGGCTATTGCTGCTAAGAACTTTGGTGTACAGATCTATGTTTGTGTCTCAGCTCTAATTTCTTTAGGGTGTATTCCTAGTAATGAAATAGCTGGTCATACGGAGTGTCTCTGTTCAACTCTCTGAGGAAATGCCAAACTGTCTTTTCAGAATGGTTGTACCATTTTATAATCTTACCGACAATGTATGAGAGTTCCTACCTCCTCACATCCTCTCCAACATTTATTGCTTGCTGCCCTGCTTAACTGTGCCATTGTTACTGGGGTGAGATTAGTACCTCATTGTGGTTTTGATTTGCATCTTTCTTATCTCCATTGATTTTGGGTATTTCTTCATGTGTCTGTTGGCCATCCGATGGAAGAAGATTGCCCCTCTTTTTCTGAGGGAACAGCTAGTAGATTAAAATTGCTAACTGAGAATACCATGGACTGCTAGGAAAACAAATAGATTTGTCCTGGAGAGGGTTAAACCGGGTGGCTCCTTGGAGGCAAGGATTCTGAGGCTCCGTCTAACTTATTTTGGACATGTTGTGAGGAGAGACCGGTCCTTAGAGAGGGACATCATGCTTGGGAGGGTGGAGGGACGGCGCAGGAGAGGAAGGCCCTCTATGAGGTGGATTGATTCAGTGACTGGGATAATCGGGATGGGAGTGTCAGAGACAGTGCGATTGGCACAGGACAGAGCAGAGTTTAGGGCTGTTGTACATAGGGTCGCTATGAGTCACAGGCGACTCGACGGCACATAACAACAACAACAACAACCTCTTAGCAGTGCTCCATGCTATGCACTAATCTGCTTGCTGTATTTTAGGTTTAGATCTGACAGGTACAGGAGGAGATTGTCCCTCCTTCTCCAGCAGAGCATCTTGGGTAGTCGAACTACAATTTAGTGCAGCTTCTTGCCACTAGGCCACCACAGCTCCCTTCATTGAAGGGTTTTTAATTAAGGGATTAAATGAATAATAAGAGTTTTGGTGATTCAAGGTTCCATTGCAGATATAACCAGTTTGCAGGGGGAAACCATTAAATGGGTGTTCTTGGCAAAAGTCAAAAGTATAGGGTCAGAAATAAAGCCAGAATTCTGCTTAGTGTTCTACCCAAACGTAACAGATGTGTTCAGTGGACATATCTGAAGATACTGAAAAGAGAACTTGACTCCATTTATGGTAGTCTTCACATTGCAAGGCAATGTGAGATGCTAAAAACCAGGATGATCTAAATGGAAAGGAGTACAGTTATTTTCTTACCTCTTAAGATTGTTGTGGCTCAGAGACAAAAAGCTGTGCTGCCAACCCAAAGGTATGTGGTTCAAATCCACCTGCTGCTCCACAGGAGAAAGATGGGCAGTCTCCTCAGATATCACTGCCTCTGAAAACCCCCAGCCATGAGTAGGTTCCAACTGTACAGCACATAACAAGACCATTGTCACCCCCTCATTCACTCATGTACAGAGTCAACAACATAAATATTGCCGTTGAGTCATGTACAACTCACAGGGACCACACAGATCTGAACGCCTCTTATCTCGCACCATCCTTACTGTCCCCGACCTGCTTGAGCACATTACCACAGTCACTAGCAGTGTTTCATTAAGAGTCTTCCTCTCCTTTGCTGACCATCTACCTTTACAAGTATGATGTTCCTTTCCAAGAATTGGCCTCTCCTAACATGTCCAAAGTATGTAGGACAGAGCTTTTGCATTCTTGCCTCCAAGGAGCACTCTGGCTGCACCTTCTCTAAGACATACCTGTTTCTTTGGCAGTCCAGGAGACATTCGGCGATTGACTCTTCTCCAGCACCCCACCTCAAAGGCATCAATGATTCTTCTGCCATCCGTATTCATTGTCCAGCTTTCAAATCCATGGCAGGTGGCTTACATTAGGTGCACCTTAGTCTTATAACTGAAATCACTACCCTTCAGGGCTTTGAAGAGGTCCCTGACAGCTGACTTTGCCGGTGCAATACACCCCCTTATTTCCTGACTACTGGTACCAAGGGTGTTGATTGGGATCCAAGCAAGATTAACTCATTAACAATTTCAGTCTTCTCTCCGTTTATCATAATGTTGCCCATTGACCCCATGGTGAGGATTTTTGTTTTCTTTATGTTGAAATATAATCCAAATTGAAGGCTGCAGTCCGTGATCCTTTTCATACCTAGACTGAGAAGCAGTTGGCCAAATAGAACAGGGACCACTGCATAGCTTAAAATTTGGAAGAGTTTGTGTCTGGGTTGTAACCTTTCTCCTTATCTGTTCAACCCATACGCGGAGCAAATCCTTAAAGAAGCTGTACTGTTTAAAGAACAAGCATGTGGCATCAGGATTGGAAGAAGACTCAGGAACAATGTGCATTTCCAGATGACAAACTTTGCTTACAGAAAGTGCAAAGATCTTAAAGCATTTACTGAAGAGCAAAGACTACAGCCTTCATTGTGGATTACATCGCAGCATCAAGAAAGCACAAAACCCTCACCATTCGATCAATAGACTATATCATGATAGATGGAAGAAAAAGTAATCAAGGATTGAATTTTCTTTCCCTTTACAATCAGCCCTCATGGTTATAGTAGTCAAGAAATCAAAGGACATGTTGCACTGGGGAAACCTGTCAGGGACCTCTCCTGATTAACAAAGAGCAAAGATGTCAGTTTAAAGACTAAGGTGCAAGGGTCCAACCATGGTATTTTCAGATGTTTCCTGTGCATCTGAAAGTTGTGCAGTGACTAAAGATGACAAAAGAAGAATCAGTGCTTTAGAATTGTATTGTCAGAGATGAGTCCTGAATATCTCTCAGAGAAAGTGCGACTTGCCTGCTCTCGAAGCAAGGATGGTGAAACTCGGTCTCCCACTTTGGGCATGTTGTCAGAGAGGCCAGTCCTTGAGAACAGACGTCATGCCAGAAAGGTAGAGGATGTAACGGTGGGCTCACGCGTGGTGGAGGTCATGAAGCTGGTGCAGGACATGGCAAGCCTCAGACCTGTTGTTCACAGTGTCCCTGGGAGTCACAGTACAGCTGCAGGTGACAGAACCACTTGATGGCACCTAACAACAACAACAACAATGTAATGCACATACAAAAAGTCCTGGCAAGATCGTGTGCTATGGACTGTTCTGTTAAATGGTAAATAAAAGGTTGGTCATTTGAATTTACCAGCCACTCCACAGAAGAAAGATGGACAGCGTCCCCTAAAAAGATTTATGACCCTAGAAACCCAAAAGAGAATCAACTCCATGGGGCGGGGGGAGCTGTTCCTGAGGAGGCTTTTTTTAATTTCATAAAGCAAATGTATAATTTAACAAGTGAGTGAGCAGGTACAAAATCAAATTAAAGGTTGAGAAACTGATTCTTTCCAAAATCCCCTGAACGTCTCTTTCAATCACGATTCCCTGCTTCTCTCTTTCTAGAGAAAGGACTCTAAATTTCTTGCCTTATAGTTATACTGTGTGTATTCTTCTCCAAGTAATATATTTATTTCTGGTTATTTATAAATGTGTGTAGACTTAGTCTATACATATATTCTTAACGTCTTATTATTTCATTCAGTACTATATTTCTTAGGGTCGTCCATGTATCTAGTCCATTTATTTTCATTTCTATATGTTTGAAGTTACTGCTGTTGTCTGACTTTGTTCATATATTTTCATTTATGTCACCATTCACTGATTGTTGACTGTGAACAACAACAACAGTCCATTGGGTCTACTTTGGAAGCAGGAGTGGCATCCACTTCCTAAACAACACGCCTCTGGAAACTATGAACTCTGAGAAACAATGATAGTTCTAGAAAGGCATCAGGTGTTTTGTTCATAGGGTCGCTATGAGTCGTACTCGACTTGACGACAATCAATAACAACAACAATGGTTCTACAGATAAATTATTATAACCATGAAGAAAGTATAGCCGGATGTTGAATTTATTGCCTGATAGGACTTCTCTCTGTAAATCCAGTGGAGAAGAAAGTATAGCACGTTATTTCCTGAACAGTCTTAACTTCTTCCCTAGACCTCTGTTCACCGTTTCCACAGAGTCCATAATTCCTCCCACTGTGTGAACACTTGTCATTTCTCCTTCCTTCCCTCTAGGTGTCTAGAATCTTCAGGTAGAGGCTGCCGTTCAGCCTCTGGGCCAGCTGCCATGCATCGTGGACGAGCCCCCAGCAAAGGGCCCTCCGCCCCCGTGCACGTTTACCAGCAGCCGCCGCGGCTTCTCGTCATGCACGCCGTCCTGCCGTCGTGGGCTGGTGTCTGCTCCAACCTCTGTGACGCCCTGCACAACTTCTTCTCCATCACATGCAGCCTGAGGGGGCCCAGCCGCGTGTCCCTGCTCAGCGTGTATGTGGTCCAGGCTCAGCACGAGTGCATCCTCCCCTTCGTGGTGAGTGCCTTACCAACCTGTAAATCTCTTTTTCCTGTCTTGAAAAGAAACAGGAACTTTCTGAAGCAGAGGTCGGAATTCTGACTGAGAGCAATAGGTACACTGGTTCCCACACCTAACACCTGCAGAAAACATACAGGAGGCAGGCTCGGCGGGAGAGGCCCACAATCATGAAACTGTCCATTATTACTGGCCACATGGCCCTGAGCGTCTTCCTTTGCAAAGTGCTTTTCCTCATAAATCTCTTATGTAGAAGACCATGGACTCTTCTTTTGTTGTTGTTGTTGTTGTTGTTAACAGAAAGAAGAACAATTTAAGGAGTACACTAGAAATGTTTTCTTAATGACCACATTTAGGGAATAGTCCGGCTACAGCGTATAACAGCAGCAACAGTACTAGAAATCAGGTGGGTTCCGCAAACATGGGAGTTATAAAAACTATATACAGACTTAGTGTGTTCCATTGTGCTTCATTTCTCAAGAATTGGATGTTTGCGGCAACCCTGTGTTAAACAGGTCTGTGGTAGCCATTTTTCCAAGCAGTTCTTGTTCATTATGTCACATTTTGGAGAACCAGGGGCCTAGTGGGAAGGAACTGTCCTGCATCCCGGAAGGCATGCAGTTCAAATCCACCAGCTGCTCCACAGGAGATGAGCAGTCTCCTCCCGTGCAATTAACTGCCTCTGAAAACTCTCTGGAGGGTCAGCTATGAGTCGCTTCCAACGTGAGGTACATGCCAACAGCAGCAACAAACTTCCCAACCCCACCCTTAAAAAAGAGGGAAACAACCTCGACTTCTTAGATGTTCACAGTCCTCTGGGATGCAAACAACGAATGCCTGGGTTCTGAGTTTCATCTCCTGTGAAATGTAAACAATTAGGGAAATAAGTTTCTCACTCTTTTCAGAGCTCCGTTCAGCCCACGTTGAAGGGGCCTAAGTGGAGTCAGCCTTTAACTGCTAAAAAACAAACAAATGAACAAAACTCCCATTTCCAGTAAGGGCCATGTGACTCATTTCTGAGGCTGGAGTCTCTACAGAAAGAGATTGCTTCTCGTCCTCCTGTGGAGTGGTTGGTGGATTCAAACCCCTGACCCTTTAGTTAGCTACCCAATGCCTAGTACACTGCCACCAATGCTCCTTTAACCCAGGTTCCAGTTTCCTTTGCTCACAAATCCCTAACCGAAGAAACTTGGAAATAGTACTTTCTGTGTAGCTTCACACAGGGCTCCAATAAAACTACCTCTAGGGTTTTATGTCTTGATTTTCACTGTAATTTGGGTGCAAGTTTACACGAAAATTCATTCTTCAGTTAACCTTTCATCTACATTTTGTTTTATAACATTGATTCCCTCAGTTTTATGAGGCACAGAATGGACCTGGGTCAGTATTTTCACAATCCTCTCTCACACAAGGTCAGTTATCTCTCCTCCTCCTCAAACAAAACTGAGGTCTTCCCTGTAAAGTTCAGGCTCTTGGGAATAGAAAGATTCCCTGAGGTCTAGGCACATCGCTTCTTTGAGGTAGCTTTGTGGTGCACTGTGAGGAGCCCTGAAGGTGAGGTGGTTCCAAGCTCAGCTACTAACTGAAAGGGCAGTAGTTCAAGGCCACCAGCTGCTCCACAGGAAAGATCTCTGGAGCCGCTCTGCTCTGTTCTAGAAGGCCTCCGTGCATCAGGGTTGACCTTACAGCAACAAGGTTAGGGTTTGCCTTTATGTTGATACCGCTTATTAAATGGTCATAAGTCCTATTCTTTAAGATTATCAGAGGAAAAGGTTTTCATAACTCTGTTGTTGAATTATTAATGATGACTTGACTAGAATGGACCTTAGTTTCTATCATGGAAAGTAGAAAGATAACATCTTTGTTTATACTATAAAGGCTAAAGATACTATTCATCATTTTGTACTCCTTTGGTTAAAACAAAGTTTAAAATTATACCCTAGTCGAAACAACTATGAGATACCGTCTCACCCCAGTAAAAATAGCAAAATTCAACAGAGCAGCAAACATCAAATTCTGGCAAGGTTGTGGAAAAACGGGAACCCTTATTCATTGTTGGTGGGAGTGTAAAATGGTACAACCAGTCTGGAAGGCAGTATGGCGTTTTCTCAAAAAGTTGCAAATAGAAATACCATATGACCCAGCAATTCCACTACTGGGAATATACCCCAACGAAACTATAACTGCCACCCAAGCAGATATATGCACACCCATGTTTATTCACGGTAACAAAGAGTTGATAATCATACAATGGAATACTATGCTGCATTGAAAAACAAAGAACTCATGCAATATTATTCAAAATGGGTGACCCTGGAGGACATTATGCTGGGTGAAGTATCTCCATCACAAAAAGACAAATCTGCATAATTCCACTGTTATATAACAGGACTGACATTGGGATTGGGGAGAAACTAAGAAAAGAGGGGTTAAATAATGTGCACAGCAATGAAACAGATGAGGGAGAGAACTGTTTAAAAGGAATATATGATTAGGTATTATTTGCATGACAAGCTCTTGGAATAAAAGTTGCATAGTGAAGCGGACGTGGAGGAGGAATTACGTAACAATGGAAGAATTTTTTTTCAAAGAGTAAAGTGAACTGGGGGGAGGGGTGGGCAGGGAGGAAAATGTGCAACAGTGAATGAATGGAAATCCAAGTCCTCTATAATCTTTTATTAAAATCTCAATTAAAAAAATTATTAATTTTAATGAATGTTTAGAGAGATTTTGGATTTCCATTCATTCATTGTTGCATTTTCCCTCCCTGCCCTCCCCTTCCCCTAAAAAAATTTTTCAAAAAATTATACCCAAGTTGCTTTCATGCTACCTTTTGCTCAGAACAGAGAAAAAAAACGTGCAAATGCTCCAAGCCCTAAGTCTGATGGCTTTGCCACCTAGACTTCTCCGTGGGGCTGCTTTTAAGTCCCCATCACATGCAGCCAGCTTCTCCTAACACAGCTGGTTCAAAAGAGGTGAAGATCAGGGAGGAAGCTAAAGTATGTTATGATCCAGTCTCAAAAGGAACATTCACCTTTTCTCCACATTCTATTTGTTAGAACAAGTCATCATTCTGCTCAATATGAAGTTACAAAGTTTACTCTCTTGCTTTAAATAATGAAAATATTGCGTAAAATATTTGTTGTTGTTAAGTGCCGTCTAGTTGTAGATGACTACTAGTGACCCTATGAATGAAAGACCTGAACACTTCTATAACTTTTATCATTTCTCCATGTTCATAGAGTGTCCAGAGGCAAGCCATTTCGGAAGTAGATGCCACTCTTGCTTCCAAGCTTGTTTTAATCAGGGAGCTCCACCAAACACTGTCCACCATGGACAACCATGATCGCATTTAGCACATCACTGTCAGTGTTCAGCTTCACAGCAACCACGAGTTACCTCTGTACAGCAAGTGGACAGAGCAGTGCTGTACCACTTAGAAGAATGTTTGACCAAAAATGATTAACACCAGACCTGAGGACCGCAGATTAAAATTACTCACCTTTGGCTTGGTAGCATCACTTTCTGTCCACTAGGCCATCAGCGCTCTCTCTGTGTTGGTGTTGTTTAGTGCCTTCAAGTCGTAGACGACTCATAAAATATGTATTCAAACATTTTCAAGACACTGAACTTTGGAGAGCAAATGACAGGGTCCCTGAAGGACAGGAAACTGAGGAAGTGAAGCCTACGACTGTCCCACGTGCTGCTGTAAGAACGTCTCAGGGATTTAGTGGGATCACGTTGACTCCGTCCTGTCAAGTCAGAAGCGACTCTTAAGCTGGTTTTCGAGAGCTTTCCGTGACAAAGAAGGAGACTGTGTATCTTTTCGCTGTAGACCTGCTGGTGGATTTGAACTCCGGAGTGGTGCCGCTTGTGGGTTAGCAGTGCAGCTCCTTACAGGCTAGAGCACCACTGAGCTTCAGTGCAGAGGAGGAAACCATAGACAGTCCAGCCATCTCCCTGAGCTGAGGAGGACAGCGGCGAGCCCAGGCAGCCAAGGCGTGTGAAGAAACTCCCGAAAGCCCCGGGAAGGATCAGACATCCTATTACCTGGTGCTCAAAGCAGGACCAGGACGTAATTGCCTGTGTCGGACAGAGACTCCTCCTACGTCGCTGTGCCCTGCCTCCTCACCTGCCTCATGAAAACAGTCCTGAACCTTGCCTTGCCCTGCACCTTCCTCGTGAGCTCTGCCACGCTTGATCCCGGGAGCACGGTCACTGTGCCCGTCCATTGTGTTGGTGGGCTTCCTCTCTCTCTGACTCTCCACCTTTCCCAACATGATGTCTTTTTCCAAGGACTGGAACGTGCCCAAAGGATGTGGTCCACAGTCTTCGCCTGCAGGGGGCACCCTGGTTACACTTCTTCCAAGATTTGCTTGTTTCTTTGGCATCCTTGGAATGTCCAGTACTCCTCTCCAACACTACAGTTCAAAGGCATTGATTCTCCTTCATTGTCATCCCTGGTCATTGTCCAGCTTTTAGCTGCATAGGAAGCAATGGAACAAATCATGCCCTGGATCAGGCACACCTTGGTCTTTAAACTGACATCCTTGCTCTTCAGCACATTGGTGAGGTCCTTGAAAGCGGATTTTCCCAACATAACACCTCTTTTTATTTCCTGACTGATGTTCCCACAGACGTTGATTGTGAACTCAATTAAAATTAAATCGTTTTCAACATCAACCTTTTCTCCATCTGTGTCCATTGGTCAGGATTTTGGGGGGTTTTCTGCTTAAGCGTAACCTATTTTGACGGTTGTGGTCTTTGATCTCTGCAGCAGATGTTTCAAGACCTCTCACTTTCTGAAAGCTAAGTTGTATCGTCGGCATAGCACAAGTTGTTGAGGAGTCTTCCTCCAGTCTGAGGCAACATCATGATAGATGGACAGAAGATTCAAGTTGTTGAGGATTTCCTCTCACTAGGACCCACAATAAACACCTGTGGTAGCAGCCATCAAGAAATCACAAGGTGTGGTGTGTTGCTCTGGGCAGATCGGCCCT